CATGTTGGTGAACTGTGGGGGTCGAACTCCAGCAATTACAGAGACAGAGGCTGGGGACCCTCTGCTTCCAAGTTTATCTGCTGCCAGCACAGTCAACAAATACTCCTTGTCCCTCACCAATGGCAAACCTGTTGTTTTAATCCAGCCAGTGTCCTTCTCCACTTCAAATCTGTCTTCACCACCTAAAAGGAATGTGTCCACAAACTGTCATCAGCAAGAACATTTTTACTTGATTAAAATTAGGAGAATACAGTGGCAATTCCCAGGTCGACTTTGGCTTAGGATCAACATGCACACTCTGAGGTTCAAAAGTTTGTTTAGAACTTAGGAATCAGTCATTACATTCATCATTCATGATTGCATTTCAAAATGCCATTTCATTCTCGGGACAATTATCACTCTTCTTTATCACTGAATTATAAAATGGTTTGGATTGGCTGCCATGGGCAGGGACAGCTCCTATGAGACCAGGGTGCTCCAAGCCCTGTCCAACCTGGCCTTGGACACTTCCAGGGATCCAGAGACAGCCACAGCTTCTCTGGGCACCCTGTGCCAGGGTCACCCCACCCTCACAGAGAGGAATTTCTTCCCAATATCCCACCTAAACCCACTCTCTGTCAGTTTAAAGCCATTGCCCCTTGTCCTGTCACTCCAGGCTCTTCTGAACAGTCTCCATCTTTCTTTTATCCTCCAAAACTTTGCTGTTGCTTGACCCCATGTATCCCTTACCATTAAAAACTCCACTGGAGAGGTAATTCTGCTCCCCATCTGCTCAGACACTTTTGAACTATCATTAAAGTTTCTTAAAAGGAGACACACAAAATACTATCACTGAATTTGTACAAGCTTTGCACACACGGCCTTGGGATCACTGACTGCTCCAGTCCCCATCATCCCCAGGGATATATATGGGCAGGAACTCAACTTTGCAAAGAAATCTGTCCATACATCATTAAAAGTTGATTTTTCTCACACACAGGGATGAAGGTTTATGAACCTTTTGCAGGAGGAAGGAAAAACAAAGCTGAGGATAAAAAAAGTCACAATAGTGAGGCACGACCCGTGGAATGGGAGGGTTAAAATTTACCTTCCAAGAGAAAATATTCCACAGTTCCATGGATCCCTTCATCTGCATCCACAGCAAGCAGCTTGTACACCTGAGTCCCTGCTGCAGCCTCGGGGGAAACCACAGCCAGGAAGGGGAAAGGCTCCATGGCCCATTCAGGGACGTTGTCATTCACATCTGTCACAGTGAGTGACACATGCACCAAGTACCAATCCTTCCCTAAAGGTCACAGGAAAAGGAAGAAACCATTGGACAGTACTTCATGGCAATCTGAATTTCAAAAATTAAATACTTGTTGCCAAAAAAAAATTCTAACCTACCCTAACCAGTAGATTTGCCCTTCTATAAAGTTCACTGAAATCCTAATAAAGTTTTCACTCCTATTTAAGTTTAAATATTATTAAATACATACAGTAAAAATCCAGAAGAACAAACCACCACAAAGTAGAACTATCAAATTTTCAAAAAATCAACAGCATAAGATACTTAAAAATTTAGGAAAAAATATTTATTATACTTTTACCATTATTCAATTAACCCATGAAATAGCACAGCTCCTAACAAGTAATAAGTATCAGCCAGGTAATGCTGAAAAGGTGGCAAAAAGACTTGAGACAGTGATGGAGTGAAGGGTTTTTTTAGCTGATAATTATCAGTAATATCAAGGAGTTCAGTGTGAATAAAACTTGGGCCTGTGGGCCAGTTTGGCTTCCAGCAGACTGGCACTGACCTTGTAAATATTTCTGCTACAGAAGCCAAGCTGAGTGCTCCTGCAGGCCATATTTCATGTCTGTGGCTGCAGAAAAGTGAGCCCTGTGTGCCTCCAAAGGCAGCACAACTGTGCTGGCACTGCACTGTGCTCCAGCCTGGAATGTGGCCCAGGTAAAAACAGCCATCTACACTTACAACATGACCTATCCACAAGCTTAATAATGGATGTGAAGTCAGAATTCTTAAAGTTGATGGTGTTAATACTTGATTTCAGTGTTGATTTATTATTTATACATACATGAAAACAAACAGACAAGCCTTTATTTCCAAAGCATCTACAGGAATTGAAACAATGTGCAAAAAGGAACATCTAAAACTATGAGTTTTAATTTAAACCTAATTAATAATACAAAGACTTTAAGTATATACAGAAGTAGGAAGTGCTGCCAAAATATCTAATCTCGTAGACAGTGTTATGTGGCTAAGCCTATTCTCCCAGGAAGTTTACTTAGGCTGAATTCATTCTTCCTCTCTACTGCTGTGTGGCATCCCTCAACAAAAAACATCCATATTCCAACTACAACCTGTTCCTTTGTGTGAGGTGTGCATTTACAGGCGTTATCCCCTCACTCCCACAGCAACAGCACCTCTTGCAGCTTCAGCTTTCTGCACTCAGAAGTTCCTGTCTGCTGGCACCTGGCAAGTTTAGCACAGCACATCAGAATCTGCCATCTGTGAACAACCAGCTGGTGGACTGCTGTAAAGAAAACTCCTTGGTGTTGTGACTGGCAAAGTCAAATGTAAGTTTCTTAGTCTAGATTCCTGAGACTTAATCCATCGCAACCTTTGAGTACATTCTATTTTTACCCAGAAAATTCTCTTAGCAGAAAAAAAATCAGCAGTCACCCAGGATAATCACTGAGTCTCTTGAGTTCACCTTGTAAAATTGTATTAATTCATCTGTATTTTAAACCTGTGAGTACATGGCCTTTTTTTTGTTTCTAAGAGCAACATAAAGTATGTTGACAGTAACTTGTTAAATCCAAATTGGTTTCCTTGTAATTATACCCAGTACCCAGAATCTAACATTCTAGAGAATATAGTATCAGTTTATAGTTTATAGCACTATAAATATAGTTATATGAAAAAACAGTGCCTACAGCAAAATATTTAAGTTATCAAACAGTAAATTACAGAAATTATCAGTTTCCTGAAAAAAACCTGTATTGGGTTTTCCCATTAAACATGCCTTGCACCACCGTGGAACATGGATACATGCAACATGTGTTCTGACATTTTCATGGCAAAATTCCCAGTTACCTTGTACATCCAAGTCTTACAGAGCCTTCCTCCTGTGTGTTATGTATTACTGCACCTCTGCAGACAGAAGTGTTGGGAGGCCCAGTGCAAGGATGCTCAATTCAGCTTCTGCAGACAGATGTTCTATAAAACAGTGTCTGTGAAGCCAAAGTTTCCAAAGACAAACTCAAACTGCCTCACCACAAAACACAGCTGACACTGAGGTGAGAGCAGTTGCCCACTCTGCTGTTGCACTTCCCTTGTAGTCACCCAGGTATAATTCCCTTCAGCATTCAGACTCTGAAAGCAGCTGCTTTGCTTTCTCCTCTGGGTAGCACAAAGAAAACAAAAAAACAAACAAACAAAAAAAAACAAACCAAAAAAACCCACAAGAAGCTGAAAAAAACTCTAAAAAAACCCAAATACATCAAAAGCAGCAGTACGTGTACTAGTTTTCACTACTGTTCTAAATAGTACCAGATGTGTTTTACACAGATGTGTTCTCATGTCAGAATGTGTGTCCCAGAAGTCCCAGGTCAGCCAGTCCAAGACACCTGAAGAAAATGCAGAGGAAGAAACGTGCTGGACATTGATCCAAGGTTAAAAAACCCCACACCAGCACACACCAGGGTGAGTTCTGAATGAGAAGCCAAATGCAATCAGTGACTGCTTGAACACTCCTAATATTTTAATTAAAAGGTGTCCAAACAGAGTAGTTGCAAAAGGGAGAAGTTCATGTCAAAGTTGTCTGTCTCTTCTCAAAAGAAGAGCTCTGGTGGAAGCTGCCCAAGTTTGTATTAGCCTAGTTTGCCTGGGCATGCTGTGGGCTTAAAGTAGCAGCACTAAATTAAAGCTGGGTTAAGAACCTTTGAAAATCTGCCCCTATAATAGCAAGACCTATTGAGGATTTGAATGCTACCTTGGTAACCCTGCTAGGAGTAGAAAGGTTACTGATGTCTGTCTCTCTGGAGTCTGGAAATCACTCTCCTCATCAACCCCTGCACTCACTCTGGTTCAAGTCCTGCTGGAGTTCCTAACCTGCGTGTAGTGTCTATTCCTCTGTCAAAAAGGAAGACACAATTTAAGAATCTGTCATTTTTATTGAAGTAGTAGTATTAAATCTGGTTACAAATCGCACTTTAGTCACTTAACCAATGCCAATTCATTGAAAATTAATACGCTGATACTTAGAACATACTTGTAACTGAGAAACAGTTGTAAGAAAACTCTGTGAAAGTGCATAAGGACCAAGCTTAATCCTCACATGCTCTAGCAAACTTTATCACTCAAAGCACTTGGGCATGCTCCTCCAGGTACTTGTATTTTAGCATTTAAGAGACCTTGGTGTCATTCTGACATGTTGGCAAGACCAAAGCTTTCAGCACTATGTTGGTTACTTCTGAAACATGTGAATAATTGTAAGAATTTTGTTAGGACAGTCAGCAGGAAGTGCAGTACAGGTAACAGAAGATACAGGATTTAAGTGCCTCTCTTGACCAGCATCCAATTCCACTGACTCTACAGATTTTACTGGTGTATTATCTTCTTCCATCAACCCCAGACAATCCGATCCGTACGAAAAAATGCTGAATAAATCATCATGATTTCCCATATAAAGGCAGTCTGAAGGAAAACGACTGCAAGTGAGTTTTCCCTTGACTGCATACCATACATCATAGGAAAAACTACAGTAAAACACCAAACAGGACTGGACTTCACTGCAGAGACCTACAAATGTGACCTGACAACTTGTGCAAACAACATCAGGGTGTCCAGGGAAGCATGCCTGGACAAGGACTTGCCAGAGGACAAGAAACGTGATGAAGAGACTGACAGCAACAATAATGCCTGTGTAATATGTAGATGTCCAGCAGGACAATGCATCAAGGATTTCAAAGTACATGCTCCTGAACATGATTTCTTTAAGTGTAACTCCACATTCTAATTAGCACAGCAAGTATTTCCAAGTTTTTGCTTTATTGTAATTACCCCAACATACACAAAAGGCAGCCTCTTGTGTTTTGGAACTGACACTGCTGCTTGCCTGCAGAACAGACCTTAAACCAGATTTTCAACTCATTTTGAATAAGGTAGATTAAATTAATTTTCTCCATTAATGATGAAAATTTTTTGTGCTTTAAGACAGTGGATGGATAGAAATTTTAGAAATATGTATGTCTCTATAGTTCAGGTGTCTCAATGCCTCTGCCCATCAGAACATCCCCCATAGGTACCTTACAGACACATTAATTATACATGTACATCAGTATATTAAAAGTAACACTGCATGGTCACGAATCTGCGTTCATATGTAATGATTAATAGTAGTTTATTAGTAGTATATGTGCAGTAAAATTGCTGTGCTACAGAAGAAAATAATATGTTACAATTCCACTCAAATCTTAGCAGAAACAGCTTAAAACTGATAATCCTCTGTGGATTTGGGTTAAGTCCTACAAACACACAGAGAGGTTGTACTGAAATTATCTGTTCCAAATCCCAGGCCCTGACAAGCAGTGGAGATACCTGCCACTGCACCCAGCAGTGCAAGTCAACCACAACTGAGATCCTAAGTTAGGAATCTGATCCAGGCTTCATTTTCCCAAAAAGAATTTTCACACTGTTGTGTAACAGAAGACCAATTACAACTGTCTCGATATTAAATGCTAGATGTTTGACTTTCAAGCCAGGCACACCATGGATATCTTACACAATGTCATCCATTCAAAAGAAATCCTACCCAAAGGATGGTTCTGCTGATTAGATTGTTGGCACACACATGGATTTTGCATTTGACAGATTTTCTTCCCTAGCTTCAGACAACAGAAAAATTTAAATTGCTTTCTCACAGATACTGAGCAAGAGGAGATAAAACACAAAATGGCCTTTGCTGATCATGAACATGACAGCAACATAACACTGGAACATCTCATGTCAAAAATGAGTATTTTTTAAAGTCATAGAGAAAATAATACTTCATATTCAAAAGAGTAAAATCATCTTTTTATTCAATCAGAAAGTATCTTTCCTCTTATTTTTCTTCAGTATGGAAACTAATGAAAACAGGTTCTGTAAGCAGATTGCTTTTCCCACCACTTATTTGCCCTTCGCAGTATCAAATCTAAGCCCTCTCTACAGCTCTCTTTTCAATTTATACAGAAAACTAAAACTAAAATTATAAACTCTAGTCCAGAGGTTTTTCCTACTTT